TCAAGAACGCTATTTGGCCATTTGCGATGTCAAGTCAAGCACATTACTCGCATGAGGCCTTTCAAAGCCCGTCCTAGAGGCCCACCTCCCCGCTTTCTTTTTGGACCGCCAAGCTTGCTTTCGAAAAAGAACATCGTGCCGTCAAGAATGCAAAGCCAGAAAGCCGAGATGCCCAAAGCCTGAACTGGCAGGGAAGGCAACCGGGTAGACTGGTGGGGCGGGGCCGTCGGATTTACAGACTGAGCGACCGACCGAGGCAGTAGGCCGAAAACCATAAACATGCACCAACAAAGACCTTGCATACAGCCTCAGTTGTCGCCATCCTTGTGACTCTTGCAAGTTTTTCTGTAAAGGGATCGAACCGAAAACCAAAAACAAATATCAATCAACAAACACCTGTTCTCAAACCAGCCGTCAGCACAGGCTTCCCTAAATCCGCAAGCCGGACTCACTACCATGATCAACAACACTTCCTAAGACTACCAGCTGCCACGATCCCGGTAGATCAACTTAGAATCAGATTGAAAGAACAATCTAAAGCTTAAGCTCGAAGCTCTAAAGCCTCATATCCTTCACCCGAAGCCCAAAAAAAACATAGTAAAATGAAACCTCAGGTCCCGGCGCCAACTGCCAGGCCTCGACTTCAAACGTCAGAGTTTGCACACTGCAGAGTTTGAGGAAGCAGAGAGGGAAAGATGGGGCAAAGCTCTCAAACGCAAACAACTGATCGCAAATTCCTACAGGCACTGCAGCCTGCGAAGCCCAGGCTGGCAGGCAAGGGGCAGATCAGCAGCAGCCATTGAACTGGCTGTGCCGCACAATGCTTCATTGACCTCAAGCAGAAGCTGTTGCGACGTTACTGAAAGGTGCTCGTGAATGCAGCAGGTCCTGTCTATGTTGGTGTTAATGTTGTTTACGAGGTTTCTGCTGTGCTTCGTTGATTAAATTACTAGTTAAATGCATTTGTGCTTACTGGGAGTGGCCGTGTTAGGGATGCATCTTCGCGACGGGGCTGGCCTGTTTAGAGTCAGCCGGAAAAGGCGACCACGAGCTCGAACTTGAAGCACCGCCGCTGTCAGAACAGTCTCGTTTCCAACGTTTGAACAACAAATTATTCAGGGGATCAGAGACCAAGTCGCATGCCAACTCAGCCTGGTTCATGGTAGCCCACTACAGAAGCCCTAATAAAGTTTGAACCCTAAGAATCCCAACTCAAGATGCAGCACCAAAAACTTCCGCCTGAAGCCCTATGCACTAGCGCCTCCACAGTCTGGAAAATCTGTCTCCCTCTAAGTTCCCTGCCCCCCGGTCGCAACCACGGCTGGGAGGAGCCCCATGCGCGGGGCAAAGCAGGCAGGGCTCTACTTGAGCTCGGAAGCGACGCGGAGCGCGTGATTCGAGAGGGGTATTCTGCATTTTCCAGGTCTTTTTGATCGGGTGGCTAGGCTTTGTCACAATATGGACTTGTTAAACGCCTCAGAGCAATCAGAATACAGCTCTGGCTTCTTACAACCAGTAAACAGGACGTTCGTTGAATATCGTCCTGGTTTGATGAAGCTTTCAAGTCAAGACTCCCGCCAACAACAGCCCAAGCCTCATGTTCTCAAGCCAGACCATTCCACGATTCAACCGTTAACAGCTAAGGATCCAAGTGTGGGGTCTGTGCCCAAGGTAGCGCATGTCTGTACTAAAGTAGGAAGCCTGTGTTTTGTTTGGTGGGGGATGCAAGGGCCACGCTTGCTAGTGCCCCAGGCGATGAGGATCGCGTTGTTAACCTGAGCTGGTTCGGCTGTCGGGACTTACTTGCCACTACAAATTTAAACTGAGTTCAGTTGTAGAGCTTTCTCACAACACAGCCTGTCGCAACGAACTTGTCTACTTCGGGCTTTCTTCGGGATCGGAAACAACTCAGAATCAAAACCTGCGAAGACCTACCAACCCCAAACACGTCTCATCTCACCAGTGTCAACCTCTCTTTCATCCGTTTCAACAGCCCTTGGCCGTAAGATTGAAATCTTCAAGGCGGCTGGGCGGCGCAGTCCAAGAAGTTGAACACAGTGCCACAGCCAATGCCCAGCAAATCCTGTTAAGGTACCGACTTTGTATGAGAGCCTAAAGGCGAACCCAACTTATGACATTAGTTTTTTCATCGCGGATCTGGGGCAGGGCTTGAGGGTTCTCATGGAAGTGCTAATCATGTTGGGGCGGATCGCGACTAAACTGCCATGTCTGTGTGTTGAGTAGCACGGTCATGTCTACTCCAGTTGTTATGATCGTAGCTCTCGGCCGTTCCTGATGTTGCAGGCTTTAGGGTCTAAATGTTGCCGGCCTCTATAAGGGGTTTTGGATTTCGGGTCTGACTTCGGAGGCATCTCAATGCAGGGGATGGGGCTTCTCAAGGCCTTTGGGGGCAGTTCATTCCGGATGATGCTGCGGCGCTTTGCGTTGCGGATCCTAGACAACCGCTTTTTGTAACCCGCGAAGTGCAACCTCGGTCTTTGAAAGCCTCTCCGGCTGCATATCTGTCTGTCTGTATATCTATCTCTTTATCTCTCTCTCT